GGAACCGAGCGGGACCCGGGAACCCAACGGGACAGGGCTGGGAACCGAGCGGGGCCGGGCTGGACTTGGCTGGGGAACAGAATGGGACAGCAGAGGAACGGGCAGGAACTGATGCTCAGCAAGTTCCACCTGAAGGCGAGGAAGAACTTCTGTGCTGTGAGGGACCACAGTGCCCTGCAGGGTGTGGAGTCTCCCTGACTGGAGCTATTCCAGACCCACCTGGACACAATCCCGTGCCCTGTGCTCTGCCATGACCCTGCTGGCACAGGCAGGTGGGACCAGCGCAGATGCTCCCAAGAAGGGACTTAATCCAGCCAGGTCACCATCACCCACCCAAGAACTCCACAACACTTTTTTCCAAAGGCAATGTAACAGAAACGTTTATTCGCTTTCTTGCAAAAGTTGACAATATTTAAAAATAAAAATTACAAATAGTCTTACCAAAATTCAGACTCAGAGTAGGTTTAGATTACATATTGGGAAAACATTCTTTATTCAGGGGGTGGTAAGGCCTTGGCACAGATTCACAGAGAAGCCACAGCTGCTCCATTCCTGGAAGTGTCCAAGGCTGGGCAGAGCTTGGAGCAACTTGCTGCAGTGGAAGTTGTCCCTGCCCATGGCAGGGTTGGGAACTTGATGATCTTTAAGATGCCTTCCATTCCGTGATGCTATGAAAACCTCAGAAACTCTCACAGTTTCCTGTTTACATGAGCACAGCACAACAAGTGTGAACCCGCCCCACCAAACACTGCCCAGGAGCTCTGCACCCTCTGAGCCAGGGAGGGCTCAGTCCTCGGGGCAGGATTCTCTGCAGGCTCACATGGAACACGATCCTCACCCTCCCCAGACCTGCCCAGGAAGTCCCAACCTCCCCGAGCCACAGCCAGGAGGCTCCTGGTCAAGGTCTGTCCCAAAGGTTTCATTGCACAACTCGTGCCTGTGCCTCAGGCTGGGCCTTGGCCAAGGGCAAAGCCGCAGCCAGAAAAACTTCAGCACGGCAGTGGCTGTGGCAAAACATCCCAAATTCAGCAGAAGGAATCACAAACACACACAGAACATCCACAGGAGCTCACCTCACATGATTATCAAAGTGATTTCAACGTGTTCTAGTGCCTTTTCAGAGAACTCCATTAAAAAAAAACACAAATATTTTAGGGTTTGGAGTGAATCCAAAGTGACACCACACCACAGAGGTAATTATGTAAACTCACTCATTTTCTGATGAAGGAAAGCTTTCACCATAATCTCGGAAAGAAGCCCCTGTGCTGCAGGAACAGAAGGGAGAAGTTTCTGGAAGTGCTTTGGCCTCGTAATTGGGGAAGCAGAGACAGAAACCCAACCCAGCAGCGCTCTGGGGTGGTCCCTGCAAGGTGACATTGCACACTTGTCTCTGTGGAGCACAGGAGCAAGGCAAGTTTTACCTCAGCCTCTCAACAGCAAACTAGAGAACCATTTTCCCCTTTCCACAGCATCAACAGGGCACTCCTTCTGCTTTCCTAGTGTTCTGAGAAGTTTGAGCCAACTGAGCTGTCCACAGTGCAGTGATTGACCCTCCCCAGGCAGCTCTGCTCCAGAACCTGCCCTCACAACACGCCAGCATTTGATCACAGCTTGGTAAAACAGCACTGAACACCTGCCAAGGGGAACTCAGCTCGTTCCTTGTTCCTGTGCAAGGCCTTGGCTGAGCTGTCTCCCCCCACTGGGGCTCAGTTCCCAACTGTGGGGCAGAGATAAGCAGCTGGAGCATGCCCTGTGTGTAGATTTGGGAGGACTTTGCTCAGAGCACGTTCTGTTCCCTGCCAGGATAACTGAAGGTTCTGAGCAGGCAGCCCTGAGATCCCCTCAGCTGCTGGGCTGCAGCTTCTCCCTGTCCCTGCTTTGAACAAAACACACCTGTGGGCAGCAGGCTCAGAGCCTGCTCCCCATGACACCCAGATGGGAGCCAGGAAAACAGGGCCATCCTGGACACAAGTGTGAGGGACAACAAGGCCTGCAAGAGCCAAAGATTTGCTGCCAGGAGACTTCATGAAATCTTTTAGGTTGGAAAATTCATTTAAGATCACAGAGTCCAACCATTAGCATTGCCAGTCCATCACTAAATCCATCTTCAGGGGAAGCTGAAGGATGCCCAGAAGCCCCAAGAGTCAGCAATTCCAATTTTCCCCAAAAGGCCCCATTTTATTTTCCAGCATTTTAGGACAGCACACAAAAGTAGTATTTAAACACCTAACAGGGAAGAAATGTTTGGCACAAAAATGCCCTGTGCACCTGCTGTGCTGAGGCAAAGATCTCCAACAGACTGTTGGCCAAGTCCCTCCTGCTTCTATTGCCTTTTAAAGCCACAGAGATTTTAGGTTTCCTTGGCTCAGCATGATGGATAATTCCCTCCTCAAGTGGCAGGAATTACCTTTTCAGCTCTGGAAAGCGAAGCCAGGAATTTATTCTGCAGCTTTAAGTGAGCACACAGAAAGGGGATGCAGATCCCCAGACTCTGAAGTCTGCAATGTTCACTTGTCTGTGCATGATTAAAGCTCAGATTTACCCCTGTAAAAAATTACCATTTACAACTCCTTTTTGCCCAGAGGCTGGCCAGGAGGTTCTCCACCTCATTGACTTGAATAAATGGATGATAAGAATAAAAGAGGAAAGGCTGGATGCCACAAAACAACAGATCTCCCAGGTCATTTGCAACATGCCCAAGTGGAGCAGTGACTCAGAAGGTGAGCATTCCTCCCCAGCAATGCACAGGCTGCTCAAAGCAGGACCTGGAATTTGGGAGCTCTGGCAGTGCTTCACTCTCCTGCCTGTCAAATGAGTCACTTGAATTTCAATAATATTTAAATAACAGCCTGCATCTCCCAGGCAGCAGCAGCAGCCAGCACACTACTGTCATTTCCATGTTACAAAACGTGCAGGTGTCTCCACTCACACCCACCTGCCGGAGCTCTGCAGTTGAGTTTGAGCAGGAAATCATCCACACACAAAACTCCAGGCAGCAGGACACAGGGCCCACAGCAGGAGGCTCAAGCTGCCCTGTGTGCAGCTCACAGGACACTGTTTGTCACCTCCAGTGTCCCCACGGCAGCTGGCAGGCAGAGCACGGCAGCCCCAGGGACGGGCACTCCTTATGTAACAGGGACAAACACTGCCATGCCTGGGAAAGCACAGGGCTGGCGCTCAGGAGTCACGTTGGCCACACAAACAGCTCTGCAAACATCCCCACTCTGGCTGTCAGCACCCTGCTCTGGACAGCCCTGTTTGTGACTGCTGCATCCAGGGGCACCTCTGCTTTTCACAAGGCCTGGCTTCCCTCCAAGAGCAGACTTCCTTTTCTGTCTCAATTCAGGGAATTCAGCCCATCTTGCTGCCACTTGGAAAGGCCCTGTAGGACACTATGTTCAGAAAATTCTGAAACATTTTGCCTAGACAGCACCAAAAGGAGGATCAAGGGAGCTGAGGCACAAACTGGTTTGCTGTTCCAGGCCAGTGCCCAGTGACCATTTCCACTCCAGCTGCCCTGCCCATGTGAGGGGCCAATGTGGAACGTTGGCAGTGCTGTTTGGCACAGTCAGCTGCAGTGGGTACCCAATGTTTGTCACACCACAGACACTTCCCAGCTGTGCCAGGCTGGGGCTCTGCAGCCAATCCAGAGTGGGAAAGTGCTCAACCTCCAACTAACAGAGCCAGTTCTGCTGTTCAGCCACAATCTTTGCAAACAATGCTGCTCGGACTAATCGCTTCCCACCACTAGGCAGATGTGTCATTATTTCCCATTCCATTTGCCACTGCAGGACAAGAGCAGGCAGAACACTGGCAGTTACCAGGAGTGCTTTGCAATCAAACAGAATTCAGAGCTGCAAGAGACTGCAGAGAATTTAGTGACCCAATCTGCAAAGCCTACAACTCAAGAACCCAAACAATTCCCACTTTTCCTAGCCACAAACCTGAAAAAGCACTGCCAATTAGCATTGAGATGGCTCTTTCAGGAGAGCAGGAACTTGGCTGCACTTGGCTGGCTGGATGCAAAAGCTGCAAGTAACAGTAGATTAACAGATAGAAAACAGATTATTGGATTTCAAGGCACTTCCTTTTCTAGATTTCTTTTAGCATCATTTTTCAAAAGCACCTTAATAAAAAACTTTTGTAATACACTTTTGAATGAACTGCTCATAATCAGTGAGGTATCACAGACTTACAGAAAGGAGAATCTTTGAGGCTCTCAGATTCGCCCCCTTGCTCCATTAATCACATTCCACCCATTAATTACTCAGCTGCAAACAGCTCACACCCTCTGCAGCTCTGCCTGAATCAGCCTCTCAGTGACTTTTCTAACAGGGGACGGGCAAGTCACTGCAAAAGGTGGACACAAGGCACACAGACAGTGGGACCACAGTGCCCAGCACAGTGTGGGGACACAACAGATGTAGAGAAAAAAAAAAAAAAAAGCTTCTAAGTACCATAGACAAATGGTTTCTAGTGTCCTCTTTGTCCTCTATAAAGAGGTAAAGAAAACAGAGCCCCAAAGGTGAGCTCCTCTCTCCTAATGGTAAACCTGAGCATGAGGCAGAATGAAACACTGCTACCTGCTGCACTAGCACCAGCAACGTCACACGATTTTTCAGGGTGTGTCTTTCTTCTGAAGAAAGTCTTCTACCAGCTGATCAAACTTCTGTGAGGAAAACTGCTTTAGGACGTGTAAGGGAGTGAGTAAATACTGCTCTGCTAGTCCAGGGGCAAGGTGCTCACTGGAAACAGGTGCTGCTCCTGCTGCTCCCAGCTGTTCCCCACTCAGCTCTTCCTTCTCACCCCTGTGAGAAGTGTGGCGTTCTTTTGAGCAGAGAGCTGGCTCACAGTAGTGCTGAGGAACTTTAACATCTGTAAACACTTCAGGTTTCTCAGTATTTTTCTCTGGGGAGTCATAAACAACCCCTCGGGGCACAGAACTCCCCAGGGCTCTTTTCCAGAGACTTGTGGGTTTCTGTCCCCTCCTTCGGCTTTGCTGCTGTCCAGGCTCTTGCACAGGCTTTGAGACTGTGAAGTCAGGAAGCACCTGGGGAGCAGAGCTCAGGTATTCCTGAAAATAAACCTGGCACATGTCGTCCTTCACAATGGGAATGATGGAGCAGGGTTTCAGCCACTTCACAAACTCACGCAGCTCCTCAAAGGACGAGTGATCTGAGTAGGGGACGAGGTAGATCTTGGGGTGGGTGACCTTCACGGGCCTGCCCGTGGGGATGATGGCAATGGTGGGGTGCTGCGCGTTCCAGGCGACCACCGTGTCCCAGCAGATCTCGGCGACATCCACGGCGCGGATCCAGCCCGTGCCCTCCTCAGCGGTGAACACGTCCGGCAGCTCCAGCAGCCGCATCTGCTCCAGGCGCCAGGGGCTCACCACCACCCACGTGCTGAACTCCAGCGCCAGCTCCACCAGCAGCGTCTCCTTGCCCAGAGTGTACACACCTGCCGGGAGAGCAGCAGCTCAGGGACAGGGCAGGCACAGGGGACACGAGCCCTGGTTTGGGCCGTGGTGGCAGGAGGGAGGGCAGGGCAGCACTCACCGATGACCACGTGGTGCTGCGGGTGGGCATAGATGAGGCGGACAATGTGGCGGACAGCCAGCGCCCGCGAGGGCAGGATCCGCTGGGGGTGGCAGTGCGTGTTGTCCAGGTACAGGCGGTCGATGTGGCGGCCCCTCAGCGCCGGCTCGCCCTGCATGGCGCTCGTGTAGCGGAAATCTCCTGCAAGGACAGGGATGGCAGGGCACGGCCCAGAGAGGGTCTGGAGTTTCCCTCACGGAGGATATTTCAGAACCATCTGGTCACAATTCTGTGCTATGTGCTCTGCGACAACCCCGCTTAAGCAAAGTGCTGGGACCAGGTAACCCACTGCAGTCCCTTCCAACCTAACCCATTTTGTGATTTTGTGATTGTAGGAACCTGCCCTGTACTACCTGTGTAGAGGATGGTGCCAAAGGTACCCTCAAAGAGGAACATAACGGAGCCAGGGCAGTGGTTGGAGTCGATCAGCGTCACCGTCACCTCACCCACGACATGGCTCTGCCCCACCTCCAGCGGCCGGATCCAGCACTTCGGCACCTGCAGAGGCCAAGGTGAGGGCAGGGTAGGGCACATGACAAGGGCTGGGACAGGCACATGGGGATGCCCAGGCGATGAGGGCAGAGGAGGGCGGGACACACCTACCTGCAGGCGGTGATGCACGAGGCGGGCGGTGAGCGGGGAGCAGTACAGCGGGCGGCTCCAGGTACTGGACAGCCCCACCGTGTGGTCCGAATGCATGTGGGACAGGAAGAAGAGGCGAGCGCCGGCCGCCTTCCGCAGGCTCCAGAAGTCCACGGCGATGGGGGTCCCGGCCAGCACCGTCCCGCTCATGGTGGGCGAGGATCCCGCTCCCCTCACGCCGGTTTTGGCGGGAAGCGCCGCGCACGCGCAGGCGGGGCGGGGCGGGGCCGGGCGCCAGGGGCGGGGCGGGGCGGTGTCATGCGCGCGGGGGTCACGTGGGCGGGGCGGTGGGGCTGGCGGGCGGAGCGGCACCGGCACCGGGATCTGGGAACGGAACCGGGACCGGGATCTGGATCTGAATCTGAGAGCGGGACCGGGACTGCGATTGGCACCGGGTCCTAGGACTCGGAGTGAAACCGGGAGCGGCGCTTAGGAACGGACCGTCGCGGGGCCATGCCGTACCTGGGCGGCGAGGAGACGCTGCGGGAGCTGCGGCGGGCGCTGTCGAACCCGCACGTGCAGGCGGACCCGGCGCGGTACCGCGGCGCCGTGCTGCGCGTGATCCGGTACGGCGGCCGGGCGGGCCGGGCCGGGCCGGGCGGGGGGCGCGGGCCCGCCCCGAGCCCCGCTGAGCCCCGTGCCCGCCCCGCCGCAGGCTGATGGCGCAGGGCGCCGACGTGTCGGGGCTGTTCCCGGAGATGGTGAAGGCGGGCGCGGTGCCGGACGTGGTGCAGAAGAAGCTGGTGTCGTTCTACGTGCGCGCCCAGGCCCCGCTGCAGCCGCAGCTGGCGCTGCTGGCCGTGAACTCCCTGCGCAAGGACTGCGCGCACCCCAGCCCGGCCGTGCGCGGGCTCGCCCTGCGCACCATGTGCGGCCTCAGGTGCGCTGAGTCGGGGCCGGACCGGACCGGACCGGGGGTGTCCCCGGGCGCCGTGCCCCGCTGACGGCCGGCTGCCCTCCCGCAGGATGCCCGGGATCCAGGAGTACCTGCAGCAGCCCCTGGTGAGCGGGCTGCGGGACAAGGCGTCCTACGTGCGCAGGGCGGCCGTTCTCGGCTGCGCCAAGATGGTGAAGATGCAGGGGGACTGCGAAGTGGGTGAGTGGCTGGTGGCCGTGGGATGGGGACACGCTGGTCATGTGTTTGTGATGTGCATTCAGCCTTCAGGGCTGTCCTGGGGTCCATGTGCTGCCCCTGTGTTGTCGTGGCTGTGGGGCAGAAGGAGAGAGAAAGTGGACGGTAATGAATGAAAGACTGAGGAAATTGCAGTGTGCCAGCAGATCCTGATGGCCAGAGCTCTGTGCTTTGCAGATGGTGCTCTGGTGAACGAGCTCTACAGCCTGCTTCGGGACCAGGACCCCATTGTGGTCGTGAACTGCCTGAGGGCCTTGGAAGAGATCTTGAAGAAGGAGGGAGGTGTTGTCATCAACAAACCCATTGCCCATCATCTCCTCAACAGGTTTGCTTTCTTTGGCATTAAGATGGTGCTGGAAGCTTGTCTTGTTCTCACGTTTTCCATGCAGAGAGGCAGCTCCTGGGGGACATAAGATGTTCCTGCCCTCCCTGACTGGTGCCCCTGTGCCCCTGGCAGGATGCCCGACCTGGACCAGTGGGGGCAGAGCGAGGTGCTCACGTTCCTGCTGCGCTACAAACCGCGCAGCGAGGACGAGCTCTTCGACATCCTCAACCTGCTCGACAGCTACCTCAAGAGCAGCAGCCCCAGCGTGGTGATGGCGGCCACCAAGCTGTTCCTGGTGCTGGCCAGGGAGTACCCAGATGTGCAGGCAGATGTGCTGGTGCGGGTGAAGGGCCCGCTGCTGTCTGCCTGCACCTCGGAGAGCAGGGAGCTGTGCTTCACCGCGCTCTGCCACGTGCGCCAGATCCTCCGCAGCCTGCCCGGCCACTTCAGCAGCCACTACAAAAAGTTCTTCTGCTCCTACTCGGAGCCCCACTACATCAAATGCCAGAAGATGGAGGTGCTGTGTGAGCTGGTGAACGATGAGAACGTGCAGCAGGTGCTGGAGGAGCTCAAGGGTTACTGCACTGACGTGTCGGTGGAGCTGGCGCAGGGAGCGATCTTTGCCATAGGTGAGAGCTCGGCCTTGCCCTGGCTGCAGCCCTGCACCTTTCAGGGGGCTGTGCTCTGCTCAGGGTGCCTGGGCAAGCACCACGTCACTGCTCTGTGCTGCAGCAGCCTGCCCAGGAGTGGTTTGTGTCAGAGTGGTTCTGATTGTTCCAGGAGTCCTGGCGCTGAGCTGCTTCAGGTTGTGCAGAAAGTCCTTGAATCTCATGGTGTGAGGAGATGCTCTAGAGAAAATTTAATTTCATCTTGTAATGAGCCTTCTAGCGTTCAGTGAAGCTGTGCAAGGAGTGGAGAGCTCTAATGCCTGCTTGTCCTTTGAGTTGTGGTGGGGGCAGAGTTCAGGTGATAGTTTTGGTTTTGTGAGCTTTAAAAATAGGCAAATTATTACAGTATTCCTAAGGAGAAAGGTGGGGATGATAAAATGCTTTTTTTAATGTATTACATTTAAGGAAAGTTCTAAAATCTTCTGAGGCGTGGCCTCAAGCAAAAGAACATGTCCCTGGTGTGGAGAACAAGCTCATTTGGCCACACTTTTAGAAATAGTAGTCAGCAAGGAAAGGAGAGAGACTGTTCCTTTAAAGAGCGTTTGTGATGAGTAGCTGAGTTCATGACTCCTGTTTCACTCTGACAGAAGGTTGATTTTTATGTCTTTTTGGCATCCTTGCAGCCAATATTGCCAGGACATACACAGAGCAGTGTGTGGGGATTCTGACAGAGCTTCTGGGGCTTCAGCAGGAGCACATCACCTCAGGTAACCATGCTGCTGGTTCATGCTCTCAGGAGGTGCCTTTGCTGGAGCTCCTGATCCCAAACCCAGAGGCACTTGGCTTTCAGCTTAATTGGTGGAAGTTTTCCAGGTGGGATGAGTGGTGTAAGGTGTGTTCCTTCTGCAGGAACTGCTCTCTGTGGAAAAGGAGATGGTTGTAGCTGTGCTCATGCTTCTTTCTGGCTGCCACCTGCTGACTCAGGAGTGAGGGGCTCAGCAGAGATGTTATAGTGTCTGTTTGAGAGCCAAGATGATTAATGGATCTTTTAAATCTCTGTGATTTCTGTTCCTCACATAACAGTCTGATTCAGTTGTGCCCAAGCTTCCTTTTTTCTCCTCTGCCCTCAGATCCACCTTCACATCACTGCTGTTCCTGCTGTTCTCTTTCAACTGCTCTTGCTCTCTGATTCGAAAACCACACACTTGCACTCAGCTGTTGAATTCCATCTCAGGAGCTGTTTTTGTGTCTGAGTGGGCAGCAAAACCTTTCAAGTTTTGACCTAAAGTTCACGAGCCTCATTTCGAATTGGGGTCAGCTTTAATTTGTCATCCTAACCTCGTGTGTCTGAAGCATCATGAGTCAGAGGCTTTTTAAAGGCTGGCAGTGGCCAGAAGAGAGGCTGCTCTCCAGCAGAGGAACCATCTGAACTCTCAGTGCTCTATTTTAGACCTGGTGCAGCTTTGCTCTGACAAATGCAGTGCCATGGGATTGGGAAGGAGGGTGCCTCAAATCACAGGCTCAGGCAGGGACTGACCCTCCAGGCTGGGATTTGCAAAGCCCCTTGAGTGCAGGGCTTTGAGATTATTTTTTTCTTTTCCCCGGCGGTTTTTATGACTCTTGGGGGATGCTGATAACTTGTTTTCCTTGCAGCTGTGGTCCGTGCTTTCCGAGACCTGGCCTGGCTGTGTCCCCAGTGCACAGATGCCGTGTGCCAGGCCCTGCCAGGCTGTGAGGACACCATCCAGGACAGCGAGGTGAGGGGGAGGATGGACAAGGACTGTCCATCTTCCCTTTGCCTTGAGAGTGGGGGCAAAAATCAGAAATCCTCAGGTTTGATCTCCCAGCCTTTCCTGCCAACGCGTGGCACACAGCAGCTGTTTGCTGGTGTTCCTGTGCTTCCCTCAGGGCAAGCAAGCGCTGGTCTGGCTGCTGGGCACCCACGGGGAGAAGATCCCGAACGCTCCCTACGTCTTGGAGGACTTTGTGGAGAACGTGAGGTCGGAGTCGTTCCCGGCGGTGAAGATGGAGCTGCTGACGGCGCTGCTGCGGCTCTTCCTGGCGCGGCCTGCCGAGTGCCAGGACACGCTGGGCAGGCTGCTCTACTTCTGCATTGGTGGGTTCCCCGTGTCCCCACAGCTCCCAGGGCCTGCTCTGGCTGGGTCACCTGGCTGGGTCAGCGTCCTGGCTGCTTCCAGGTGGTTCCATGCCTTAGGCTGCTGCCTGGCCCCTGGCTGATGAGTGTGGAGTCATGGCGTCAGAGTGAAGGGACCTTAAAGATCATCCATTCCACCCCCTGTGCTGAGCAGGGACACCTTCCCTGTCCAGCCTGGCCTTCCAGGGATCCAGGGGCAGCCACAGCTTCTCTGGGCACCCTGTGCCAGGGCCTGGCCACCCTCACAGGGAAGAATTCCTTCCCAATATTAAATCTGAGCCTATCCTCTTTTAGTTTAAAGCCATTCCCCTTTGTGCTTTGGCTGTCTGCCTCTAAGCAGGCTTGCATTGTGTCCCTGAAAGGCTGTTTTTAATAGCTTAGTGTATAGTTTAGTGTCAGTGCTCAGGGCAGTGTGGCTGAGGGATTCTCCATGGGTTGCTGTCTGTGTTCCAGAGGAGGAGCAGGACATGGCCGTGCGCGACCGAGGGCTCTTCTACTACCGCCTTCTGCAGGCTGGCGTGGAGGAAGTGAGGAGGGTCCTGTGCAGCCCCAAGTGTGACCCCTCCCTGGGGCTGCTGGGGGACCAGAGCAAGCAGCCTGTCAATGCCTGGGCCCTGGAGTTCAACACTCTGGCCACAGTTTATGGCAGAGAGCGCTGGGCGCTCGCCACCGCTCAGCAGCCTGTGGAACCTTCCTACTCCTGCTCTCCTGCTGCTGGCTCCAGGAGCAGAGACTCAGGTGAACAGACCTGCCTCTCCTTCCTCTGGGAGCCATTCTGCCTTTGCCAGCAGAACACAGAATCCCAGAATGGTTTGGCTTGGAGGGAGCCTTGAAATTCCTCTCATTCCACCCCGTGCCATGGGCAGGGACCTTCCACTGTCCCAGGTGCTCCCAGCCCTGTCCAGCCTGGCCTTGGGCACTGCCAGGGGTCCAGGGGCAGCCACAGCTGCTCTGGGCAGCCAAGACACTCTCCCATATGGGA